AGCTTTCTACTATATAAGTTGGGTAGCGGTGACAGGGACTTTCATGGTCCAAAGGGTGTCCGTGTCCGCGTCTGAAACCACTTGACCATCAGGCATGCATACGCGGTACCCTCAGCCAATTCAATCATATACCAATGCCGACAAGATGAATTTCAATACTGGCAGAATATGTATGCTTGATAAACNGACCAACCGACGGCAGTGGTGCTCTTGTTGTCATTTCTTAACAAGGCAGAATGCTGGAAAAAAGGTATGCATGAACACTTAGACTGTGTACTCTGTGTTGAACATAGAGGTTCTTTTTCTTTGCCTCCCCCCAAGTAGGCCCAATCCATCTCCATCTCGTGCTTTATCACTTGATTTGTGTACATTGTGAGCTTGGCAGCGATCAGTGAAGCGAGCTTCACTGTATCTCGCTGTACGATGATGACAGCAAAATAAAGTATGATGAACTGTAAAAGTAGTTCACGATTAGGTCACGGTGACCTACAAGTCATTTACGGATCGACAACATTACGCTGGGCAAAGGTGACAGATACTACACCGAGATTCTGCGAAATCGCTTGCAAAACATGGAAAGATTTTAGAATGATGACTAATACATAAAATACAACCCGTCCATTCTGACACGGGTTTTTAAGATCGAAACCATCACCGAGTGGTGTATGGTCTAACCCTCAAACCTAGACTTTCGAGCAAAAAATCACCATGGCCCAGTCGAGTCGTACGCGTGTCCTAGGATATGACATGGGTTCTGTAATTTCGCGGAGTGAAAATATGGTTGATGCAGCCTCGGCCAGATCTAAAACAAGCAGGATGCTCATACAATCCGCTCAGTCTTGCTGGATAGAGAGTATTCGTATAGATGAACAAAGTGGGACCACCGACATTGTTTTGGGACAATCACAACCGTGTGGAAATCCAACTGAGAACAGACCGCACAAAACTATCAATCATCCTTATATTACAGTCCAATTCCACTCCATGAAACGGGTTCATAACACGGAGGTGAATGAATATGACAAGCAACAAAGGGACACGGAACCAATAGTCTATATTTTGAAAACAGGATTTAATCAGTGATAGATAGATAGACATGTCATGCAAAACGGAGTCAACTTGCGTATAAAAATAGCATATGATCGTAGCAAAATAGTGACTCTGAATTAAGCATTTGTGGGATGTGGCACTCAAAAGGGGACCTGGGTGGGTGGGTTGGGAAGGAGTGACCAATATCAAAAGTTCGGAAAACCGGGCATTGGAAATCCGGCAGCAAACGCTTCCACTTCGTTCTTCATAGCAGACAATGCGGCCTTGATTTCCTGATTGTCATTCAAAACGGCCTGCGGAAAGGAGAATGNACCATTTTTAGTGACCATACCCATCCTCTGTGATTAGTTTTCAAGGTGTACACTTTGTTTTTGTTGTAAAAGTAGTGAAAAGTGAGTGATAAAAACTGGAGATTCTCAGGAAAATGAAAGCCAGCAATTATATATATATATATTTCACACACGACTCATTGCGGACTGTACCAGACAAATCACGATACAATAATATTTATAAAACGAAATATAGGTCCATGATTTGCTGTTATCGCTACGTTGCCCAGGCCAAAGCGGGTGAATTTTCTTAAGGAATTCACATATGGAGCCTTTGGCTGGCCAAAGCCGGACTCGCAAATCAGCGGGGCGGTGTGTGAATACCGTAATCCATTGGGGACTTGTTCATCGGATCATACGCCCTTTGGACGGGGTAAAACGTCCAACGTGTCCAATACCTCCACACCCAGTCGAGAGGGTGACCACTGCCACAACCAGGATGGTTTGGAATCAGTTTCCAGCCAACTCCTAGGTGAACTGCCGGTGGTTCACCGACCCTGTTACAGCCTCGGGTGTTGTCTTTTCACTTTGGTGGGAAAACACCTCCGCCGTACGAGAAAACAATGAGTAGGGCTCCCGATGATTAGAGACACTGAGCGATATGGCTGGGTGTCGCAAACAGTGAGGTTCATGCATTTAAATGCGATGGGAATGTTTGTGATGTCCAACAAAGAGCATTGGACAGCTGTTTGGGACTCGTCAGCAGTGCGTACCTTTTTGTATCACTGTCAGGACTGGAACCGCGATCAGACCATGAAGAGTGCCTGGTGCCTCTGAACAATCGAATTGGCTAATCCAAGCCCGGGGTCCATGCATCTACTCATTATTGTTGTAACTTCAGTCTATCTTAATGCGCTATCTCCCGCTTGAGTCTGCTCTCAATATGCGAATAATCATTCTGCTGTTTTATCTAAATGGGCAACCAAAAACGCCGCACGAAAGTACATGGCTAATGGTTACAAGAACTGAACTGCATCATCAGCAGAAGCTATTTGAGACGCATGGTCGTAGGAGAGCACTTCGCAAGGTGCCAGAAAAGAACTCGTGGACTGTGATCACCACGCTCATCCATCATGTGGCGGAGTACGCGTTCGAGCGGAAGAAAGTTCGGTATTTTGTCCCACAGATCAGACAGTAAAAACGCGCATGAACAGGATCCTTATCCAACCGGTTGATGAGATGGTCTTGCTCACTCATCAAGCATATGGACTTCAAATGGCAGAGCACGATCGCACTTCCAAACTCACTCACCAACATCTGAATCATTTATAGATCTAGCGCAGGCGAAGCTATCATTTGGTTTTGACCTTTCGCGCATCTCGTGAAGAAAAACAACTCACAGTTGTCAGTTATTGCAAAATAGATATGACCGATAGTGAACAAGTGTATTTGACCAAATCGAACGCATTTATAGTTTTCCTGGAGCTATTTTTCTCTCGTGTTTGGAACCGATTCGTGCGTGCCAAAAAAAGACTCGGCATCTTATTCGCAGCTGAAACCATCGGGTTTCACTGTTTGACCGTGGGGGGGGAGGGGTTGAAACGTTTGCATTCTTCGTACTATAAGTGGAAAACAGAGCGAAGGCGTTCAGCCAAACTACACGCATTTGGTCCCACCTTACAAGTGCGATTTGTTTTTTTCTTCTTTGGTCGACCGGCGCACAAACAATTCACAAAGAGGGGCGAGTGAATGTATTTGAAATACGATTATGCTCTGCCATTTCACACTTTCATCGAACAAAAGTAACAAGAGAATCACAGCTGAATTTTCCACTCAGCAGTAGCTTTTCTATCTCTCAGTATAACGACGAGGCCTCTTCGTCACTGTGCGTTTACGGTGCATTGTTGGTCAAACAATGAGAACTCCATTCCACTCGAACAAAGCAGAGTAGGCTACGCTCTCTCTCTCACACACACACCGAAAGACATTGACTAGTCATAGTTGACAAAATCACATTTAGTTTCAACGTTCAAGTGGTGGTGGTGACGAGGCGCTTTAAGCCGCTGGTACTGGCGCGGTTTGTGTCTTAGGGTCCGAGATTCAAACCCAGTCACGGCTACTCAACCTCGGTGGTAGACTGATTCACTTTCATTCAGAGTCAATATCACGCCTGTGAAAGAGAAGCATTATGTGGTTCACCAATCCCAGTTCTTCGGGGGTTAGGTTGCCTATTCTCATGCGTAAACAGCAAATCCTCATGACTATGGATTTATCCCCACAACAGTGTGTGTGTGTATTAGAAACAATCTGGACAGGGAAACTGACAAAACCGTGCATAATACAACGGAGTTTTCGGTTTCAGTTCGAACAACCATTAACCATGCACGAAAAGGCATGGAGCTGTGCTAGGGACACATTATTCCAGTCCATTGTTGCTCTTGATGCGCTCTCGCACATGGGCCGAATTTTATCTCATGAGAATAGGCGTTCGAAACTTTTCAAACATGCTCTAATGGAGATTATAGGAAAAAGAAATTGTAGTGATCAAAGCACACACACAAACACACACGAGTATCGAATTAGGGAGGAAGGGACACTGCACAGGGCAACACGAGCCGATGAACACTGACAGTTAAACTGTACAGTACAACTAGGCATCGATGACTCACATGAAAATCCTTGATCAATTTACTTCCGGCCAGCTCATTTACACGAAGAGTAAGCAAAACGGCTTGGTGAATAAATCCAGCCACTTTAGTGATATCAGCCTCCAGCAGTCCGCGTGAAGTCAGCGCAGCCGTGCCCAAACGTATACCACTGGGACTGGAACAATCAATCGATAGAGTAAGCGGTACAATGAGTCGTCATCAGGATCAACATTATCGATTGTGACCAAATTTGTCAGGCATAAGATGAAGAGACAGTTTAAACAACAAAATTTAGAATCACGAAAGTCGTGACCAATAGTCTCATGGATGAAACTCCAAACTTCCACACTATGCCTCGGGAATGAGTTCTGATAAATGAATGAAGGCAAATTTACACAGTCCAGTTTTAAAATAGGAGAATAGTGGATTTAGGAACGAAATTCGATGTTTCCAAGAGTCAGGTATCGATCACGTGAGTCCTGCAGACAGATCGAGACTATTACCTTAAACTAGATCGCGATTCGTCCGTCTTTGACCTTGTAACCAGTACTGGCTCAGGGAAGCATTTGTCGCATATCTGCCGAAATGGGTTTAACCAAATTTAGTGAATTGTACTTCACTGTATGGCTACTTCAGCGGACAGACGAGGTACAAAGTTGTGTAGGCAATTGCCAAAGATTCGAACGATACACATGTCAAGTGCATTGGTTATTAAAGAGACTCTCCGCACCATATCATCTTGCAAGTGTTGAAAATACTCGCCTTACACACTCTCTCTTCGGTGGCGTACGTATAACATTGAACAAGATGGACAAATGAAGGGAAGTGATAAATCTACTTAGGTTTAACCGCATGTTTGGTTACAACCAGGGAAGGCCAAGGGTAAAGGTCATACGCTTTTGGACACAGTGGGTTTGTTTCGAGCGAGCGATAACGCCTCGAGTATCCTTGACCGATGTTTGTCTTGGTAACAAAACCGAGAACGCGTTCGCAAGGTCTACCCTGTGACCGCTTCAACCAAATGATGTGCGATGGCCGAAGTCAATCTACGTGATGCAGTCAGAATCTGTGGTGTAGGCTGAATCATTGAATCGCGTAGGTACTTGGGGATGTGTTCGGCCATTCTAGATCGCAGTGATCGGTCGGTTCTACCAATGTATGCTTCGTTTCAGCTGTAATAGAAGGCATTAATGCAATGAGAGGCACACGTGACTGGGCGATGATCTTTGAAAGAGGGGAGGGGGAGGCGCCCAGTGATCGAATGGAGAGGTAATGTGGCAGCATAGTAGGATCTATGTAAAGTGCTTTTTAAACGCTGGGTGAAAGCTGCATTATTGGCTCCCCTTTCTATGGCAACCAGTTGTGGATATCCTTTTTAAACTCCTGATGGGTAGTGGCTTGAGTCTGATTTCCTATCCGATTTTGAAAACGAACGAAAGATTCCGGGCAACCATTTACCCCTAATGCGCTATAATTATTCACTGTTCATTTAGTATTGTGTTCTCCGTCCATGTTTTTCTCACTCTATGGAGCAACGTTCGAACCAGGGCTCTCTTGTGTTCCATTGGTGAGAAACTGTTGAAGTGAAGATACTGTCCGGACCAAATCTTCTTGCGGAAGATAGATCACTGGATAGAACCAACACTTTTACGGGTTATAAGGACATCAAGGAAAGCTAACGAATTTGCCTTCTCTACTTCACTGGTGAATTTCAAGTTGCGGTGTGCTGCGTTAAATTCACCCAGCACTACAGCCATATCGTGAGGGTGATTGAAGATGATGAACACATCATCCACGTATCTTTTATAGAAAGAGGTTCGCTTGATTGCCTCGTCTAGCCGTGGTTCAATCAACCAGGATAGGGCCAAGGGGGATACCCACTGCCACACCGTCTCTGTGTCGAAATGCGGTACCTTGAAACTAGAAGCGCACGTTTTCAGTGCACAGTAAAATGAGAGGTTCCAATAACACCGAAGGTATGCTAAGATTGATGTTCTCTTGAGTGGTAAATTCGCGGATAAATGTTTACAGTTTCGTGTAGGGGATATTTGCGAATAATGAGGTGATATCAAAGGAACACACTGGTTTACCAGATACATTCTAGACAACATATCACAAAGGAGTGATGTAGTAAGTGATTACCTAGGCGTTTGTGTATACTGCCTGAAGGACTTCTCCGAGCCACTGGGCTAAGTTGTGATAGGGCGGGTCTTGCATATTTAACTGACACAGGATAGAAAATATAATGCTTGAAAGAAAATGGATAACAGCTCCATCCCGCCCGCGCATTCGCATCAAAGAAAAGTTATGTTGTAGTATTGTATTGTATTGAGCTGATTCGTAAGCCAAACAACGCGTGGGATTCGTCACACAATCACAATAATGGTTTGTGCATTTGTGTCGTTGAGTATCAACTGGTCAATCGACGGATCTTCTTGCTTATCTCTGTCGAATTCGTGACTTAATCCTCTTGAGGATTTGCTGCTAAATGCATACCGTTAGTGCCAGTAATCCGGATAGAAGACAACATCATTTTTACTCAGATACTAATCCCGTGAATTAGTTTCCATTGAGTTCCCCGGGTCGGAACTTTGATCCTATGAAGCTATCTGTGTATAAAAAATGCTGTTCATATACTAGAAATCGATTTGACACAAATTGGACAAGATGAATTTAGGAGTAGTGTTTAAATTCTTGGAAGGTAGCAAATCATAAACTGGCATGAGCTAGGAACCGATAATTAAGCTGCTTTTAGACAAAAATTCCGATGAATGTCAGGATCTTCACATGGTAACATTACGTTACAGAGGTGTTGTGGTCTACGACCGATTTGACAACTGGACAGAATAGCCAGAAATGGACGGCCCAATACAACACAGGTCTGAATGACTGGCGTTCTCTGCTGACGACAATTCTAGTTATTTGGACTCACAGACAAGTGACACGCTTCAGGCTGCCCTGGTCACAATCTCAGAGGCATGTGAATTGTATGCACACAAATAAGGCGTCAGCGGGACTGATCTTCCTGGATTGGGATAGCACATGGTTAGTAGAAACACGACTTTACTGATCAGGCAGTAGCACGGGGTCAGTACTCGTATCCTTCCGAAAAATGGAATGCTCCTTCACATGGCACTTATTTCTCTATCAGAAGGATGGTGCCGGACATAGCAATGCACAGTAAATAAGATGACCTGGTATATATACTTCACGGTGGTGGTGGCACAATGGTTTGGTTGTTGTCACCGGTGTGATTTGAACCCTCTGGTCCGAGGTTCGAGCCCCACCACCCAGATTTGCAGTCGTCCGATTCAACGCCACCACTAACCTATCGGGGCCGTATGTGATTCGCCACTCCAAGTCCCGCGGGGCTTAAGTTATCGGTTTCGATCTTCTTGACTATGGAGTTCATCCCATCTGTTGTTCATCGCAAAACAACTTCAAACAACAGTTGGTCGCGTACTCGTGATACCGACGATTCATGACGTGAATTACGGAAATCCATTGGCTACTACAGTCTCATTCTTGTCAAAGACGATGCGAGGAAAACAAGCGTGACAAACGAACACTATTATCTACTGCATCCACATTCAGCCAATTTTGTCATCTGATTCAAGCGCAAACCAACTACCCAGTACTGGTTTGTTCCATACGAACAGAAAAGAGGACTGGCGCTTCAGTGGGAACAAATCGAGGTTAGCAAAGTACGGCTAGGATCATACGGAATGGTCACAAGATAGATGACGCATCAACCGGAGAAATCCGGTTCTAAAAATTGCGCAACTGGCTCCGGAACTGGAAACAAACAAATGCGATGTGAATCGAGGACGTACGATTAATCCATCAGCCAGAAATAGGAATCGGACAGTGTGAAGGTGTTATCAGACACGATGCGAACCAGTTTCCAGTCAAAAACAATGGAGCTAATCAATTTTTTTTCATCTGAACACAGATTTCGGTATTATGATCCGTTGGCGATTAGCGAATCGGAGTTGAAAGCATGTGTGTAATAAGAACAAGTGATGCTCCGCCTCTAAGAGATAAGGTGGAACACTCATAAAATTAACATAATTCATTCACATTTTTCATCGAATCGATTCGTGCGTATCCCGTCACAATGTACCGTAACCTTGTACAATCGAACGGACCACATCAATAAAATACTCTGGTCTGTTGGGCACACGGAGCCTGGCTTATTGACTGGTTTGTTTGTTTTTTTCTCCAGTCAGATGCACCG